CCGTCACGGTCCTCCCGGGTAAGCACCGTTCCAATCGGAACCCCCACCGGAGACAAGTGGCCAGCAGAGGGGGGAGTTCTGGTCTCTGGATATTCCTGGGCACGTGGAATGGGCTGGAAAAGTCCTGCCGGGAGTCACTAGGCAGAGCTGGGTCCATGGGTGCTGTAGGACCCCAAGGCTCTGGGCACAGCCCGCTAGGAGGAACCCAAGGCAGATCCCGCCTGCTACCAGCAGCGCTGGGAGCCTGGGACCGCCTGGGACCGCCTGCAGCCCCCAGCTCCCAGCAGGACTCGGCTGATGCAGCCCCACCAGCTACCCCTGCAGCCCTGTGCACTGCCGCGACAGCGCGGACGCTCACCTCCTCCACCCCTGCAGATGGGACGGAGCTTCCCAACACCGCCCGCGTGGCCACCCAGGGCACCAGGTGGGTCTGAACACAGGTCCCGGCTCTGCGCGGCCTTGGGCAGCGCTGGGGGGCCCTCAGGCCCAGGGGGGACAGCAGGACTTGTGTCCCCACCTGGAAAAGCCAAGGCCAGCCTGTTTTTCCCGGGCTGCTTCGTGCCCCGTGGTGGAGCTGCCTGGGGGGTTAATGCTGCAGAGCAGCACGGTGGGACGCTGCAGAAGCAAAGTGTCACCTGGGGAAGGAGAAGGGCTCCTGCTCCTCTTCCTCTCAACCTTCAGCTCTGCCGGGCCAACCACGACCATCGTGGTGCCCACCGTGGTGCTGGTCCTCCTGGCTGCCGCCGGCTCTGCCGTCATCTGGATCCTCGTCCGGAGGAGGAGGGAAGGTGAATGTGCCCGATGCTTCACAGCCCTGGTCCTCCCTGGAGCTGAGGTCAAACCATCCTCAATATGTCTCGTGGCTGCAGAGGCTGGTGGGGAGCTCACCTTTCCCACAGATCCTGGGATAGAGGATACCCCTGGAGAAGCTCCCTCCTGGACAAAAACACGTTTTGATGTGGGATTTGTTGTTGTTTCTTTCTTCTTTGATTTCCCCCCGACCCTGCAGCCCAGCAGAGACCCGCTGGAGAGGCCATGTGCTTGGGGCAGCTCAAGGTGGCCGCGGACCCGCAGGTGAGGG